AACAAATAAATTAGCATTTGTCATATTTGGCACATTTGTCATGACGAATTCGTACCATCTAAAGAAGAACATTTTTTTTTTATTGTCAAAAACTTCAAATTCAAATGTTTTTGAAAATCAAGAACTTATAATAAATTAAAGACGACCGAGTGGTAAAATCATTATTTTATATTATAAGAATATTGTTATTGTAATTTATTCAAAATTATTTTCATCATTTCAATTCAATTATTGTTTTTTTTTTAACAAAAATTCTTCTTTAGAAATTAAAATTCTTCAATTATTTTTAATAATTTTTTAAAAAGTTCTTTCAGAATTTTGAAATCCATTTATTTACAATTATTCAATTTTACAAAATTTCGATTAGTTGGAAATTCTTCAATTATTATAATAGAAGATAAAAACTTTATATAATTTCAAAAAAATTTCAATTAGACTTTTAAAAAAAAAATTAATTCTACTAAATTGTTGGTTAAAAGAATAAAAAATTCTTATTTTTAAAGATTTAACTGAAATTCACTTTTAAATCAATTTTGATTAGAAAATTCTACAGGAATTCAATTATTTAAATACAAAAATAAATAATTCATTTAATGATTGAATGTTTCTTAAAATTGAATTCTCGTAAAGAATTTTATCAACAAATTTTTAAACAATTGAATTCTTTCGACGAATTTTAATAAAATTTTTAAGAGCAATTTTTCATTTTTCGAAGAATTGAATTAAAATTGTATTAAAAATAATTTAAATTCTGCAATGAGTTTTATTATCTATGAAAATAATTGAATAATTGAATTTTATCAATAAATTTTTAAATAATTGAATTCTTTTGACGAATTTCAATAAAATGTTTGAGAATAATTACATTTTTTGATGAATTCGATTAAAATAATTGAAATTCTGCGATGATTTTTATTATTTATGAAAACAATTCAATTCTTAAAAAGAATTTTATTATTTTTGAAAATAATTGATTTATTCAGAAGAAATTTATAAAAAATTTGTGAATAATTGAATACCTGTGAAATTTCTATTATTTATGAAAATAATTAAATGTTTGTTTAGAATTTTATTAAGCTTTTTCAAAATAATTGGAGTTTTTGGAAAATTTGATTAAAATAACAGATATTGAAAATCATTTAATTGAGGAAAATTGCTGAAAATAATTGAAAATTTTTGACGAGAATTTTTTTAAATCTTTGAAAATAATTGAATTTCTGTGATAAATTTTATTATTTTTGAAAATAATTGAATTTATGCACATTCGTCATGACGAATTCGTATCATCTAAAGAAGAGAATTTTTTTATTAAAGAATTATAAAATTTAAAAAAATAATTACTAGTACTAAAATTAAAAAAAATCTATCTATCTAAGTTAAAAATAATTTTCAAGAAAGCTCGAAAATAAAAATACCAAATTTTATCACGAGAAAGCTAAATTATTTAAAAAAATACTCAATTTTTAAATTTTTTGCTAAAAATACTAAATTTTTTTTAGTGATTACCTACTCGATATTCACGCGTATTTTATAAATAACATTTCATTGTAAAAATTCATAAAATTAAAAAATAGACATTTTAGACCAATTTTTTCCTTCCCCCTTTGATGTAGAAAAAATTCACGTATTTTTTATTTCTTTTTTTCTGGAAAAAGAATTTCTTCTCGTTCGTTTCGAGCGTTACACATTAAATAATTTGGTCATAGCACTTCGTTAAAAATGGCTAAAAGTTTTCTTTTATATCTCCCTTTGTTCGCGACTTCAAGCTTATAACCCAGATTTTATTTCACAGCAGGGTCGTCAGCCTGATTCTAGTTAAATATTAACAGTTGTAATTTTTCTTTTATATAGACGCTCGCTTGGACAAGATTTATGCAAACTAATTTTAACAAAAAAAAAAAAACAAAGGAAATCAAATTTTATTCACAACTGCGAAACAATTTAAAAAATAAATTTACTTTAAAACAGCCCCCGAAAAAAATGGACTTTCAAACTAAAATAGTAAACACTAATGTGTTTACTATTTAAATTTATTGTCATTTCTTCTATATTAAATTTTTAAAAATACAAAAATGTAAGAAATCAGGTAAAAAACTAAGAGACTATAAATTTATGTTAGTGAAGAATTTTTTTTTTTTCATTGTATTCTGAAATTTAGGTATTTGTCTTCGAGAGGACAAAAATTGCTTTTCTCTGGGTGAAATTTTCCATAATCACGTTTCGTTTAAGCTATACGAGGAAATAGAATTTCTACGAGGTTAGCGCGGAATATAATTTAACTTGAGGACAATTTACTAGTGGCTATTCCAAACACAAAACAAGAGCGCGACCAGGCGAAATTGTTTAAAATTGAACCATAAAATCGGTTAACTATTTAGTGGCAATTAATTTTAGAGGTAAAAGAAATTTTTTTTTGCGAAAAGGAATAAAAATCTTTCAGAGTTGGAAATTTTTTTCTTTAATTCTCTAAATTTTACTCTCAACATATACACTCTTTTTCACATTTAGAATATATTTTCTATTTTTAAATTTATTATTTAGATTCATAAACTTTGAAATTTCAAAAATAGTCTCTTTGTTCATTAGGTGAATATTTTTATTATTAGCAAATAGTACTTTTTATTTATTTATTATATTATAAAAAAATGGATTTTTTTATGATTAGAAATGTTTATTTTTTTTATTGGAATATTTTAAAATTTTCAGTATTTAATGTAAACTTTTTATTTCTGTATTTTAAATTTTTAAGGCAATTTTTTAATTTAAGTTTTGTCAACAAATATTTTTTTCGAGTATTTTCAACTAATATTTTCTTATTAGTTGTTATTATTATTTATTATTAATTAGTCTTAACTAATTTTTTAATTTTCAGTACTTATTCTTAATTATTATAGGTATTAATTTAAGTAGTCTTAATTCTTTTTTTTCAATATTTGAAAATAAATGTTTAATTTTAGTATTCTTAGGTAATTTTTGAATGAGAGTTTTGTCAACAAATTTTTTCTGTTTCTTTTCTACTCATTTTTATAGTTTGAATATTATTTTCTAATTTTTTTATTTTGAGTATTCTGAACTATTTTTTAATTAATTATTCTTAACTAATTTTTTTAATTTTCGTATTTTTAAACAATTGTTTTAATTTTATTATTTTTAAATTAATTAATTATTAATTAATTAACTGTAATAATTTGAATGTTCTTTCATTCATTCACTTTATCTGTTCCTCACACTCTGAAGTTGTCTTTTGTTTATACTTTTGTTTTTTGTTAACTTAAGATAGATTGTATATTTTATTATTATGTTACAATTATCTTTATTTTTATTTTTATTATTAATTCAAAATTGTAATGACAAATAGAAATCATCAGAATTTTTTTCACTTCTTTTCATTGAAAGACTAAAATTTTGTTAAATATTATGTTTTGTCAAATTTAAATTATGCAGATTTTTGTTCTTTACTTTTAAATAAAATTAGAAAATTGTTAAACAACTGTGATTAAGAAATAGAAAATTTATTTATTTTGCATTATTTTTCTTTATGAATCACAATTTTTTTAACAAAATTAATATTTTGTTTTAGAAAAAGAATTATTATGAAAATAATTGAATTTCTGTGAAATTTTTATTATTTATAAAAATAATTAAATGTTTGCATTTAATTATATTAAATTTTTTTTTTTAATAATTGAATTCATCAAAATAATGAAAATAATTGAATTCTTGTGAAATTATTATTATTTATGAAAATAATAAAATGTTTGCATACAATTTTATTAAAAAATTTTCAAAAGAATTGAATTCTTTTGGGGAAATTTTATTAAAATGGTAGATATTGTAAATCATTGAAATTAGAAAAATGCATTTTATTTTAGAAAATAATTGAAATTAGGACAAGAATTCTTTTGACATTTATGAAAATAATTGAACTTTGAAGAAGAATTTTGTTATTTATAAAGATAATTTGGATTTTTACTAGAATTTTTTTTCAAATTTCGAACATAGTTGAATTTTATAATTGAATTTCTGCAATTATTTGTAATTTCTCCAAAATTGAATTTTTTTTAGTGTTTTCAACAATAATTTAAATTAGAAAATTTTTAAATTCTAATATTTTTAAAATTGGTAATTTTATTTCAAAAAGACAGTAAGAAGTACTGCCTTTTTTGTAAGAACAAAAAAAATTATGATTTTATTAAAATTGTTTTTTGTTGAAAAAAAACAATTGTTGAAAAATAATGTTTTTCTATATTTTTAAGTTTTTGTTTTACTTAAACGAAATTGGTTTTTATTTGTAAAAGTAATTTCAGAAGTACGTCAAGTATTTCTTAGAGAGAGAGAGAGAGAGAAATTCTAGGAGACTTTCATCGAGTCTACAATAACTTCAATATATCCGGGATATACAAGCCTGTTTCTTGGCGATAGGAAGCGCCATTCTCCATGGAAGTTTAGTGACAAAGGAAAGGAAACGATACAACTTGACAAAAATATAAATCTAAATCCCCATCCAGTATATCCTTTTCTGCTCCTTTTTTCATTAAATCTTGGAATTTCTCTCAATGTACAACTTGTACATAAAAAAAAAACCCCCCGTTTCCGTTCAATTTATGTCTTATTTGTCCACATTACCTGATTCTGACATTACTATATTGAAATTATTTTTTTCACAATTTTCAAAAATTGAGAGTATACTTTTTAATTTTGATGAACTAATAATTTAATTATATCAATAATATAATTATTTTTAAAAATTTATCAATTGTTAACTTATTGGAGAAATAAAATCATTAACCAATTTCACGATATTTCTTGAATTATTGATGGAAATTAAATTTTAAATTTTACATCGAAAGACTGAGAGAGAAAAAGAGAGAGAGAGAGAGACGGAGAGTGTAAAATGAAATTATCTGCAATTCCATTTGTACATTGAATAATTAATGAGAAAATTGTCAAATATCTCTTGGACTGAGCAGTATAATAATTTAGAATGTGTCTATTTTCAGAAATCGATTGGAGAGCAACACAGAACATTGGAACGCGCTTTTACTGTCGTTGCGCGAGCTTATCGAATGGGTAATAAGAAAGGATACCGAGCTTACCGGATTAGGACCTGTCTGCGGTGAAATGGCAGCATTACAAAAACAACAGGTACGACTACTTAAAATTAAATTCACCGGAAATTATTTCAATTCTAACATTTCGCAGAATTAACAAAAAGAATTAATAAACGAAAATTTGGAATTTTTTTAATTGCATTAAACAATTATTTGAATATGGAATTTAAAAAATTTAATAGTGACGATAAATTAAAATGAGTTAGTTCTGCATTCTTCGTTTCAGTAGTAAAAGTCAATTTCGATCAGACTTGGAATCTTTTTACCGTTTGGGGGTCTTTAGTTATTACAACTATAAAAGTGGTTGGCAATGAAACTGAAAAAAGTCAGAATTTTGATATTAAGTAGTAAAAGTCAATTTTCGTCAGACGGGGTTTAGAATTGTTCATTATTTTTTATAAAAGTAAATTTTAAACCTAAAGAACATTTTCTATTTTTAGAATTTTAATAGCAGTAGTAAATGTCGGTTTCAGTCAGACAACGCTCAAGATTCTCTTTCACTTTTTTTTTATCAATATTTAAAGCGAACTTAACTTTTTATACTCAGTTTTATCTCGTAAAGGCTTAATATCAGTAGTAAAAGTCAATTTTAGACAGACAAAACTCTATCGAAAACTTGTATCTTTCCAGTCAGAAGAAATAATAGAATTCCTTAAACACGACACTTTTTGGAATTATCTTAATTTGTAACTTAAGTAATAAAAGGCAATTTTTGTTGAATTGATTTTAATTATCAATTTTATTCAAATATAATTATAGTTCACCAGTAGTAAAAGTCATATTTTGTCAGACAAATTTCAATCTAATTTTCTCAGTCCTTAATAAGTAGTAAAAGAATGCTTTAGTCAGACATATTTTTAAGAAATGCTTGTAATTGTAATTTTAATACTAAAATGGAGTAAATCAGTAAATGAAAAATAGTTAGTAGTAAAAGTCGGATTTAGTCAGACAAATTTTCTATTATTTTTTGGTACATCCCTGTCAGTAGTAAAAGAATGCTTTAGTCAGACATATTTTAAAATGCTTGTTTTAATTTTACAAATGCTTGTAATTATAGTTTAAATACTAAAATGCAGTTTTAGTGAAAGAAAACTTGAGCGTCAGTAGTAAAAATCAATTTTCGTCAGACATTACATTTTAATTTTAATTTCTCAGTAGTAAAATTAGAAAAAAAAGAAAAAATTTGTATTACATTGTATTATTCAGTAGTAAAAGCAAAATACAGTCAGACGGATAATTATCGATATAAGAAGATTAAATACATTAAATAAAGGAAGAAAATTGATTTTATTAAAATGAATTTCGCTAATAATTTAATCGAATTAATTTTGTAATAAAATTCTATTTAGATCGGCAATTATCTTGTGATAACATCGAGAGCTTATGTTGCTAAATGTACCTTATCTCCTCCATACACTCAGGGTTATCGAACAGTAAGGGATGCGTGCCAGGTAACATGGACCTGCTAATCAGGATTAAACTGCACACTAGTCCTTTATGCATCGTGACATTGTCGATATATTTAGATTGTTGAAGGCTCAAATGATTTATCAGCATTCACCTAAATCAGATAATAATCAAATCCTCTTGTTTTAAAATCATCTCTTTCAGAAAAGTTCTATTTGTACTGATTATTTTCGTTTTTAATTTGTAGTCGAAAATTAATAATTTCTTAGTTTAATTATTAATTATTAACTATAATAATTTAAATGTTCTTTCTTTCATTCACTTTTTCTGTTCCTCACACTCTGAAGTTGTCTTTTGTTTATACTTTTGTTTTTTGTTATCTTTAGATAGATTGTATATTATATTATTATGTTATAATTATTTTTATTTTATAATTAATTCAAAATTGTAATTATTTTTATTTTTTAATTAATTTAAAAACATTTTTATTAATCTAAAAAAAATTATTAAATAGTTTCATTCCTACTGCTGATCTAAACATTTCGATAAAATTCTGTTTTTCATGGAGAAAAATGGAAATAATTTGCGCACCATTTCAATTACTCTATTACAATTATTTAAACAAAATTCCAAGTTTTGCTCAGAAATAAAGAGAAAAAAAATGTTATCAATCACAATTTTTGCAAAATTTTAAACTTTCTTTTTAAAAAAGAAAAAAATTTTTCTTAATTTCTATTTGTTAATTACGATTTTTAACGAAATTATCATTTTTTCTTGGAAATAGAACGAGAAAAAGTAGAAAAGTCGGTTTTAGTCAGACAAATATTTGACTATTTTTCCTAATTCACAATAAGTAGAAAAAAAATCTTTTTGTATATCAGTAGTAAAGGTCGGTTTCCGTCAGACAATTATTCGACTAATTTTGTTACTTTTCCTTAAGTAGTAAATTAATTCTTTAGGCAGACATATTTATTTGCAAAAAAATTTAGTCTTTGGAATTACTTTTACTTTCAGTGTAGTAACAATTTAACTGCAGTAGAATTTTGTTTATCAGTAGTAAAATTCGATTTTAGTCAAACAATTATTCGACTAATTTTGACACTCCTTTTTAGTAGTAGAAAAATTCTTTGGTCAGACATATTTATTTAAAGTTATTGAAATTAGAATTTCAGTAGTAAAAGTCAGTTTGAGTGGAAACAAATTTTTAGTTTCCCAGTAGTAAGCCCCACTTTTAGTCAGACATTTTTTCGACTAATTTTTCCACATCCCTGTCAGTAGAAAATAATTTTTTAGTCAGACATACTTTTTTGAAATTATTCTAATTATAATTTCAGTAGTAAAAATATATAAATTTATAAAATTATAAATTTCAGTAGATTGAGTGTTAAAAAATTATTAGTTTTTCAGTAGTACAATTGGACTTTGATCAGACAATTATTTAAATAGTTGCGTTACTTTTCTATAAGTAGTAAAAGAATTCTTTAGTCAGACATATTTTTACGAATACTTATAATTTTAATTTTAATACTAAACTGAAGTTTCAGTGAATGAAAAATAGTTCGTCAGTAGTAAAAGTCGGGTTTAGTCAGACAAATTTACTAATTTGTTATACCCCTGTCAGTAGTAAAAGTATTCTTTAGTCAGACATATTTTTTTAGAAATGCTTGTAATTTTAATACTAAAATACAGTTTCAGTGGGGAAAAAATAGTTCGTCAGTAGTAAAGGTCGGTTTTAGTCAGACAAATACTAAATTTCTAAAATTAGAGGGATTGTCTGAAACTAAAAGCCTTTTTTGCGGTGAGTCAAAAAAAAATTCAATTCCTTAAAAATACGAAAATGAATCCAAAACTATTTTTATGGAACTTGAAGGCTTTCAAGAAAAAACTAAACTTTTTGAGGAAACTATTTAGAAACCAAACGAATGTCCCTGTTACAATTCAGAAAAAAAGGAAACAATTGAAAAAGGATAAAATTCTTTTCTTCTTAAAAAATTGAGTATTATACAAAAGGATGAAAATAGTTTCGTTTACGAGCAAAAGCGAGAAAGCTGGGGACAATTTCGTGAGTATCAGAGCAGGTGATGGGTGTGTGGGGACGAAGGGGGTTTGAAGTAGAAAGGGTTGAAGAACGTATTCTTGATTGACTCCTCGTTCACGTTCGCACCTGCGGCGAATGAAATGAATCTGGAAAATTTATGTTCGCCAGTCGCTTCGAAAGAGCACTCTCACTTTGCCGCTCGCGAATCTGCTAGGCAATGTAAACGTTCACAGGGTGCTTTTCTCTCGCAAAGGTGAATAACAGCAACTACGTCGTTTCAGAAATTCTTCGTATCTTTCTTCAACAGTTACGATGTCATTACGCTTTATATTAGATCGTTTAATGCGTTCGGGGCTATAATACTCTTGACGATAAAGCTCTCTCACTCTCTCCTTCTTTCTCTCTTTTCCCTTATACTTACATGTCATATAGGCTCTCAAAAAGCTGCTCTACGTTAAATTCCAATTTAATTACCTGGACTTGCCTTTCTCTCATTACTCACGTTACTGTTAACATTTGTAACCTTATTTGTATTTTATCTTCTATAGTTAGTTATCTCGAATGTTATGTGCCATCGTAAAATTTTCTTCCTCAGAATAAATTTATAATTATCTGGATCTGAAAATTAGTCTTTTTTTAAAAATAATTTTACAAAAGAGATTTTTTCTGAAGAATATTTTTCTTTTGTTATTTATAGGAAAAATTAAAACTTGTAGTGAAAGGGAATAAAAAATAGTGAAATAGTGGAAAATGGAAACAATGTCTGACTGAAAATGAATTTTACTACTGGAATTTTTTCTGAAGAAATTTGTTTTTTTTTGGTATTTATAGGAAAAATAGAAACTTGTAGTGAAAGGGAATAAAAAATAGTAGAAATTGGAAAAAATGTCTGAATGCAAATGAATTTTACTACTAAAAGTTTCGAAATTAGGAAAAGACTTTCTAAATTTGAATTAGTAAAAATGTTCATTAATTTGAATTAGTAACTGACTTTTTGCTTTTTAATTAGTAAACTTTACTACTAAATAGTAATTTCTACTAATTTATCATTTCCCTGATTTTCAGACAGAATTTATAACTTTTTCCTTGACCAAAGAAGTTAATTTTATTCAAACTTAAGTAACTTTTCCAAAAGTATTTTTATTCTCTATTGATTTCAATTCAATTATTTTCTAGAATTTTCACTAAAAATTCTTCTCTAGTTTAATTATTATCAATTATTTTAAATTTTTATTAATAATTTTTTTAAAAAATTCTTTGAGATTTCAATTATTTGAAGAAACAAGGAAAATTCATCTTAAAAAAACACTGAAATCCACTTGTTTACAATTCCATTTTACGAAATTTAAAACAATTTCCAAATAATGTGAATAAATATTTTTTAAAAAATTAACATATTCAGAATTTTTAATTGTAATTATTTAGAAATTTTAATTTTCTAAAATTTAAAAATTGAAACCTTTTGAAATTCAATTATTTTTAAATGTTGTCACCGCATAACTTTTAGAATTCAATTATTTAAAAAATATTTAACTAAAATTCTTCTCTAAATAAATTATTTTTAATAATTTTTGAGAAAGTTCTTTGGGAATACAAATTATTTAAACAAAAAAAAAAGTGGAAAATTTTTCAATTAAATATGTCTGTAAAAATTTTAATAATTTTAAAACGAGCTAAATAAAAATTTTTCGAAAAAAATAACTTCTTCAGAATTTTTAATTATAATTATATAAAATTTTAATTTTTTAAAATTAGAAATTCAATTAATTTTAAAATATTTAACTAAAATTCTTTTCTAAATCAATTATTTTTAATATATTTTGAGAAAGTTGTTTAAGAATTCAAATTATTTAAACAAAAAAAAGAAAGTTAATCTAAAATAATTATGAAATCTATTTATTTATAATTCAATTTCACTAAATTTCAATTATGCGAAAATTTTTAAATTAAATTTCAAAATATTTCAATAAAATTTGAAAAATAATTTGTCAAAAAATTTCTTCAGAATTTTTCATAGCAATTATTTAAAATTTTAAAGTTTTCAAAAAATCCAAATTTTAAATTCAAAAAAAGAATTTTAAATGAAATTCCCATTTTATTAATAATTCCGTTCTTAAAAAACTTTCTCGAAGTTATACTATAAATTTCTAAAAGCATGTTTGACTGGAAATATCTTTGATTACTTTATTGATTTAATTGAAAATTTAGAAAAATCGGAAAATATTTGTCTGACAAAAACTAATGTTTCCTACTGACAAACAAAAAATTTGTTTACAATCAATTTAAATTTTATAAATGAATATAATACTTCTAAGAAAATTTTATCTGACCAAAGAATTATTTTACTACTTACAACAAAGAAAAATTTGTCAAAAATTTGTTTGACTAACACAGACTTTTACTACTAATAAGGAAAAATACTTGAACTAAAATTGTTAATAAAATTGTTAATTTTATTTGTAAATAATTTTTAAAACACGTCTGATTGAAAAATTTCATGACTACTAATTAGAAATACAGAACAATCGGAGAATATAGTTACAATAAAAAAAAAGAAAAATAGAGAAAAAATTACGTTAATGAAAAATTTCCCATTTGACTAATTTTTTTCTTCCCATATAATAATTTCAAAAAAATTATTTAATTACTCTCTCGTAAAATTTCCATCATTTTTCTCCTTTTTACAAATAAAAAAATACATTTCTCAAAAGATAATTTTTTTCTTTTTGCAAGGAAAAAAAATATATTAACTTCTCATCTCTAAGAGGCATGAAATATAGTATAAATGATGTGCTTTATCCACTTAACCTTTTCAGTTCGCTACTTTCTTTACAGAAATTCTAGCCTTAAATCTAATTACATATGCCTAGGTCGTTTCACGATAATTCTAAATGTCCCCTCTTCTTTAAAAAAAAAAAAAAAAAAAAAGAAAGAAAAAAAAGAAGGAAGGATGCCTTTAGAGTTTACGGAAAGCATTTACTTTCAGAGACACTTTAAATTTTACACGATGTTTGAAGAAAGAAACGAGTGCACCCAGAGTAGTGAAGATTTTCTTTTTATTAAAAAAGATTTCTTCTTAAAAAATTCAAGATTTAAAAAAAAACAAAAACAGAATGTAACGTCAAGTTTAACGTGTTTTTAAATTTTTTTTCCCTTCTAATTAATGTTACAGGACGATCATCGAGGTTTTAGACGTCAACTTGAAGACAAACGACCCGTTGTGGAGAATAATTTACTTAGTGGTCGTCAATACATCGCTAATGAACCGCCATTATCGGACACGTCAGACTCTGAAGGTAGGATTATTTAAGAGAGATTATAATTATATTTGCTTGGAGAAATTTTACTTGTTTGTTAAATATTTATTTAAATATTTCTAATTTTATGAATATTTGATATTAAATGATTTTTTATTATTTAATATTAAATGATTTTTAATTATTTAATATTAAATGATTTTTAATTATTTAATATTAAATGATTTTTTAATTATTTAATATCAAATGATTTACAATTATTTTTAATAAGCAAATAATTTAATTAAACTGCTAACTTGAATGTATTAAATTGCAACGAATTGCTACCAAAAATGTGGATCAAATAAAAAATTGATTCAAATTTTTAGCAACAATTTTATGAACTTTAGTATCAATTTGATACTTTAAAAAACAACTGTCTAGTCAATGATTTTTTTTTTTAATTATTTAATCGCAGTTTTTCTGCAGATATCAAATTGAGACAAAAAACGAATCAAAACGTTGCTTCACAACACTTTTGTTTCGTTTTTTGTCACAATTTGATATCTGCAGAAATTTAAAGAATTTTTATGATAAATTATCATCTTCAGTAGTAGAAGTCAATTTCGATCAGACATACAAATTTTTTAATTTCTTTCGGTTTCGATATTACAAGTAAAAGTGATTTTCATTAAAAAAAAAAAACTAAAATTCAGCGAAATTTTAAAAATTAAGTAGTAAAAGTCAATTTCAATCAGACGCTGTTTGAAATTCTCTTTCATTTTTCCAGTGTAAAAGTAAATTTTAAGCTTGAAGTACATTTTTCATTTTTAGAATTTTAATGACAGTAGTAAATGTCAGTTTCAGTCAGACAATCTTCTAGATTCTATTTCACTTTTTTTTATCAGTATTTAAAGCGAACTTAAATTTTTATACTCAGTTTTCTCTCGTAAAGTCTTAATATCAGTAGTAAAAGTCGATTTCAGACAGACAAAAACTTTATTGAATTTTGTATTTTATTCTTATCAGTAGGAAAAAGAATTACGAAATTAGACTATTTTTTTGGAATTAATTTCACTATAATTTCAAGTAGGAAAATATTATTTTTCTTAGAAGCAATTTTAGAATATTAGTAGTAAAACTCGGGTTTAGTCGGACGAATTTTCGTCTATTTTTCTTTTGTCACTGGAAGTAGTAAAAGATTTTTTTAGTCAGACATGTTTTTTTTTTGGTCTTTAGAATTATTTACAGTTACTGTAGTAACAATTTTTATTGATGCAAAATTTTGGATATTAGTAGAAAAAGTCTGTTTTAGTCAGACAAATATTTTACTATTTTTCTTAATTTACTATAAGTAAACAAACAACTTTTTAGTCGAACGTGTTTTTTGAATTATTTACAGTTTTAGAAATAACAATTTTATTGATATAGAATTTTTTGTTTATCAGTAGTAAAGATCGGTTTTAGTCAGACATCTATTCGACTAATTTTTTTACTTTCCTGTAAGTTGTAAATTAATTCTTTAGTCAGACATATTTTTTCGCAAAAAAAAAATTAGTCTTTAGAATTATTTTTAGTTTCAATATAGTAACAATTTTATTGCAGTAGGATTTTATTTATCATTAGTAAAATTCACTTTTAGTGAGACAATTTTTCGACTAATTTTGTCACATCTCTTGCAGTAGTAAAAGAATCCTATAGTCAGACAAACTTTCTTGAAATTATTGTAATTAGGATTTTAGTAGTAAAATTCAGTTGGAGAGTAAACAAATTTTTTTAGTTTTTCAGTAGTAAAATTTAGTTTTAGTCAGACAAATCGACTGAACATTAATAGTTTACGTGATTAATTTTAAATTTATACTTTGAATTCGTGAATAAATTTGGAAAATTATTTTTCCCTTAATTAAACTTGTTTAGATTCAAATTGTCTTAATAGATGAGATGTCAATTCTCAAGATCAATGATGTACCAGACACATAATTCAATTATAGATTGACAGAACTTGTAGAAACTAGTTTGAAGCGTCCCACTGGACCACATAACTTGAAGACAGGACTTCTCAGTTTCCCTCGGGAAAATGCAATGTTCTCGTAAAGTTACTCTCTTGACACTTGGCCCCAACGTATAAAATAACTTTTATAGTTGTACTAAGTTTCCAAAAAAAATCACACTTCTATACAATATCCTTCCCTCTCAGTGTTCCAAATGACATATTCTTATATACAATCGAAGAAAATATTTTTATATACCCAAAAGATAAAAAAATAGTCAAATCTTTCTTCCCTAAATTAATATCTTTTTTTTAAATAATACTTTTAAGTAAAAAAATATTAACCGTTGATAAATTATATAATAAAAAAAAATTGTTAGTTTATTCAATAATAATAATTATTATTTAAGCGAAAATGTAGAAAAAAAATTCACGTAAATTTCTCTCATTGAGAAAAGAGAAAAAATATCGTGAGAAAGAGAGTAGTTTTTTTTTTTTTGTCTGTGTGGGTAAAAATGTAGAGCAAGTTTATAAACGTAATTTCCCAACTAATTCATTCGAATCAGGAAGATTTCGATCTTTAGTTCCTAAGAGGAGGCAACCCGCCTACCTTGTCCGCAATATGGTGCAGTACGTATAAAGGCGCATTAAAGATTTGAACAGTCTTCTCCTTTTTCAACTATATGCAAATTTTTCCCAAAAAGTATTTCCCGAATTTTGCAGTTTTTTTCCATTTGTAATTTTATTATTATTTTTCAATTATTTTTCTAATTGTAATTTTATTTTTATTAGTTTTCAATTATTTTCCTGATTATAATTTTATTTTTAGGTATTATTTTTTTATTATTATTATTGTTATTATCAATTCTTTTTCTAATTATAATTTTTTTTTAAATTAATTTTTCTGATTGTAATTTTATTATTTTTGCTATTTATTTTTCAATTTTTTTTAAAAAAAATTCATTATTATTAAAAAATCATTATTGAATTCTAATAGATAAATTATGTCAAAATTTTTTTAAATAATTGAATTCTTGCAAAGAATTTTATTTAAAATTTTTGAAAGTAATTGAATTCCTGAGAATAATTTTATTATTCATAAAAATAATTGAATTCTTGCGAAGAATTTTATAAAAATCTTTTTAAATAATTACATTCTTGCGAAGAACTATGTTAAATATTTTTTATAAATAATTGAATTCTTGCGAAGATTTTAATAAAAAATCTTTTTAAATAATTGATTTTTTTCGAAAAATGTTATGAAAATTGTATTTTAAATAATGGAATTCATGTGAAAATTTTATTATTTGAAAATAATTGAATGCTTGCAACGAATGTTATTAAAATTTTCGAAAATAATTGAATTCCTCAGAAAAATTTTATAATTCATAAAAATAATTGAATCGCTTGGGAAATTTTTTATGAATTGAAAATAATTGAATTTCAAAATTTTTTTTGACAATAATTGAATTTTTCCAAAGACTTTAAATTGAAGTTTTTGAAAATAATTTCTTTATTTCAATTATTAGAAAATTGAAAGTAGTATAAATTCTAAAAACAAGTAGTTTTAGTGTCACAAATCTAAAAAAAAAACTATCCAAATAGTAACAAATTTAAAAAAAAAGTAGTAAATAATAGATTTTAGCAGATGAGTTCGATGCCTGCTTTAGAATTAATAAAAAAAAATACAAAAATAGAGAAAACAATAAAAATTTACAAATAACAATAATAGAGAAGAAAATTTTTTATCAAATGTAAAAAAATTTTAAAAAGACTTTCAAAAAGAAAAATTCGAAAAAAACTCAATTATTAATAATCACGTATCACTTGTATCGAATCGAATCCTTTAAAATCATTTTCGAATATGAAAATTTCATAAATTGTGACAAAAGAAATAATAAAAAAAAAGAAAAAAGAAAATTCACGCTCTCGTGTAAAATTGAAGTTGCATATATCGTTCCTTTAGTGAATTGTATTTGATTGATATTATATTTTCATCGATGGAAAATTGATTTTCTATTCCCAAGCGGAAGTCGTGTCATCGAATGTCAAACTGCTTGGGACAAAATACGCATTTATTCGAAATTCTTGGTTTTCAAAAGAGAAACTCTTGTTCGGCACGTGCTTGGCAAACTAAATGTAGAAAAGCTGTTGAATAGGCCCACTACATGGCTTACTGATGAACAAGCAGGAACATTTTAATTCAATTCTGCAAAAAATAAAAAAAAATGCAAAATAATTCGGATTTTAGAAACAATTTTTTTTTCTTGCTTTTTTTTAAGAGCAAAAGATTCTTAACTCAAGAAAAGGTTTTCTTTCTAATCTCGTTAAACCCTCTTGCTAATGAAAATGAATGAAATTCTTTTTTATTCTCTCGTGCAATGTGTCTTGACTACTCAATTTTACACGAACGTTTTATTTTATAGAGTTGAAAAGATAAACTGTTTAAGGGACTCACTCGAAAAAGTTCTTTAAAATATTTTATCTGGTTTAGAAAAATATTTTTTTTCACTGACTATTTAAATTATTACATTTAATTATAATAATATTTTTAATTATGTTTCAAATTTTCTATTTTATTTTTTTTTCTAATTGTTACTTTATTTTTATTTTCTTATTTATTATTATTTATTTAACTCATTAATTTTTCTTTTCTGTTTTATTTTGTTTTTGGTTTATTATTCGAATAAATTTTTTCTATACTTAAAAAAGAATTCAGAATATTATTTTAGCGTAAAACTGATAATTCAATGCGGAATAGTTTCTTTCTTTTCTAGAAAAAAAAAACTAAAGGAAGATTTTATAAATTATCGGAGTTTTTGCAAAACTTATGTCTTTGACCCAGTTGCAGTTTCGAAAGAGCCACTCGAACTTATCTCATTTGAATCAATTTCTAAAAAATGTAAATCTGATATTGTTTCTGAATTTTTAATAAGAGAATTCGCTCAATTCTTGTGGATACTGTTTTTTGAAATTATAATTTTAAATTTAAATACAAAAATGTTCTCTTCAGCAATTAAAAATTAAACTCGAAAATAATCATAATTTATTGAAATTCGTAAATAGAATTAATTAAAATAAGATGTTTAAATTAAATTAAATACCTATTAATAAAAATATTTAATATTGAAAACAAATAAAATTAATATTTTGAAATAAAATTAAATCAAAATATTTAAATTAAATTAAATAAAAATAGGTATTAAAATTAAATTGAAGTTAAATATTAAAATTCAAATGAATTTCGATATAAAAAATATGATTTATAATTAATATTTAAATACTTCGAATAACCTAGTTTTGAAAAATCCAGTAAATTCAATTCAAAATATGGAAAATATTTTTAATTCAGATGTAAAAGAAATTTTACGTCCCATTATTAATTACAAAAACTTATCGAATTTTTTTAATTGGGAAAGAAAATTTTATGGTTTTTGACCAAAAAATTTAATTCAAATTATCAGAAAAAAAATTCAATTAAAAAATAGTAAAATAAAATGTAACAATTCAAAATTATAACTAATTTTGAATTGAATGTTTGTGGTTTGATATATTTTGACCAGAAAATTGAAACAAACTTGAATTGAAATAATAAAAAAGAAAATTAAATTCAAATAGTAAAATAAAATGTACCAATTAATAATTTGTAACTAATTTGAAAATTGAATGTTTGTGGTTTGTTTGATATTTTGGCGAACTAATAATAATAATACGATATATGCAGTAGAGAGAAAGCAAAGTATTTTGGCTATTGGTACAATCGGTTACGAGTACTGGAAATTAATTGTCCCAATGAATCACGCATCGTATCACACCTGACAGTTTTTACGTGCGTGTTTAGCATTGATAACGCCTACAACTGTTCTGCCTCTGTCCCTATCTGTTTCATGTTATGTTGATTTATGTTTATGGTACAACGTAAACGTACCCTTTAGCGATATTCAATTCACCAATCGTTTAACCATAAACACAAGCAGTCATATACTTTTGTCGTCAATTGTGTTCAACAGAAATACATTTCATTCCCTTAAATTGGTACCTATATCGTTTTAAAAACAATTTCTGTTCACTCCCAAAATTCTTTTCTTTACTTCTTGTTTCCTTATTAAAAAATTTTTATTTATTTTATTTTTATTTATTTTTATTTATTTTTATTTATTTTATTTTTATTACATTGAAATTGCATCCTTTATTTTATATTTTATTTTCCCCACAATTTTTTATTTACTTCAGTCCTCTTTTTTCTTTACATTTTTTTTCCTTTTTTTTAATTTAATAATATTATCTTTATTTTTCAAATAATTCAAAAATATTTTTATTAATCTAAAAAAATTATTAATGTTATTATTCATCATTTCTTTGTTTCTAAAAAAATAGCATTTTCTAACAAACGTTTTAGGTAATTAACAAAATGTAAATCCTGCAAAATATTATCCTTTTTCTAATATGAAGAACTTAATTGTTTGACAAATCGAAATTATTCCTTTTTTCTAAAAATTAAAAAGTTGCTGGAAAATTAAAATTAGAAAGTAAAAAATATTTTGCACATTTTCTGCTTCTTAATTACAATTCATAAATAAAGTACAAGTTTTAAGTAAAAAAAAAAGGTTATAAATCAAATTTTCTTTAAGAAATTTAAAATTTATTTTTGGAAAAAATATTTATAAAATTTTTTTTGTTAAAAACGATTGTAAAATTATTCGAAAACATCAATAACTTCTTTTCTAAATTTAAATATTTAATCATTATTATTTTTCCATAGTAATTAAAATTCTTCAAAAGATTCAAATTCAAACCTTTTTGAAATTTAACAATTTATAAGAATATTTATTATAAAACATGAAGATATTGATTACTCCGAGTCGGAGTGGACAATTTTCAAAAACATTTTTTTAAAATTCAATTTTACGTAATTTCAATTATTCAGAAATTCTTCAATTGAATACGTAATAAAAAATAAACACTTGAAATAATTACAGAAAAAAATTCAATTAAACTTTTTCAACTGCAATTAATTTTTAAATCAATTTTTATTAGAAAATTCTACGAGAATTCAATTATTTAAATGCAAAAATAAATAATTTATTGAATAATATTGAATATTTCTTAAAATTTATTTCTTGTAAAGAGCTTTATCAAAATTTTTTGCAAATATTTGATTTATTTTGACGATTTTTAATAAAATTGTTAAGAACAATTACATTTTTCGAGGAATTCGATTAAAATTGTATTAAAAATAATTGAAATTCTGCGATGAATTTTATTTATGAAAATAATTGAATTCCTAAAAAGAATTTTATTATTTATGAAAATAATTCAATCCCTGTCAAAAATTTTATTATTTATTAAAAAAATAATTAATTTATTGCGAAAAAATTTATAAAAAAATTTGTAAATAATAGAATTACATATGAAATTGAGGAAAATTTTTGAAAATAATTGAAATTTTGCCAAAAATTTTATTAAAATTTAAAAAAAAATTGATTTTTGTATTAAAATTAAATTGAAGTTAAATATTAAAATTCAATTGAATTCTGATATAAAAAATATGATTTATAAAAAATATTTAAATACTTTGTATAACCTATTTTTGAAAAATCCAATAAATTCAATTTAAAATCGAGAAATTATTTTTAATTCAGATGTAAAAAAAATTTTATGTCCCATTGTTAGTTACAAAAACTTTCTTTTTGAAATTTAATGCCAATTTAGTATTATTTTAAAAAATATAAGTTTTCGAAATATAATTCTTTCCCAAAAATACGATATTTCAAAACAATTTTTAAAAGTAATAAAATTAATTTCTTTCAAATATAAAAAATTTATTTTAAATGCGAAGAAATTTATAAAAAATTTGTAAGTAATAGAATTACATATGAAATTGAGGCAAATTTTTGAAAATAATTGAAATTTTTCCAAAAATTTTATTAAAATTTTTAAAAAAATTAAATTTTGACAAGAATTTTATTAAAAATGTTTAAAATAATTGAATTTTGAAAAAGAATTTGATTACTTTTGAAAATAATTGAATTTTATGCAATCATTTATAATTTTTCCAAAATTCAATTTTTTTTAGTGTTTTTGAGCAAAATTCGTCTATAAATCCGCTATTTTTAATAATTAATTAAATATACATTAAAAAATTTAACAAATTTCAGAAGAATTTGAATTTGTTAAAATTTTTAAAAACCTAAGTAATCTTTAAAATTTCTAATGAAATTCATTGAAAATTGAAATTTTATAAAATTTTATCAATATTCATCTATTTATGAAAATTGTAAACGAACTTGAAAATTTAATTAATTTTAAACTACATAAGTAAAAATTAAGTTAAATAAGTTAAATTAAAAAATTACACACGCGCATTATTTTAGCTTGTTAATATTAAAAGGGAATTATTAAATAGAATTTAAATTTAAATTATTAAATAGAATTTAATTATTTATTTTATATTTTATTTCTCCCTCAATTTATTATCTAGTTGTCCTCTTCTTGCTTCATACTTAATTCCATTATTAAAAAGGAATTTTTAATTAGTTAAAAAGGGAATTATTCAATAAAATTTAATTATTTGTGTTATATTTTATTTTTCCTTCAATTTTTTAATTTTTACGTGAATTTTCGATAATTTTGAATAAAGGAATTTTAATAATATCGAATGAGAATTTTTAATAATATCGAATAGAGATGCCAATTTTTTTATAATGTCGAGTGGGAGTTTTGAAATATGAAATATAAAAAGGGAGGAATTTTAAATATAAATATTTTATTATAAAAGTATAAATTATCGAATTCTTTTGGTTTGCGAATTTGAAAAGTTTTATTAATTTATTTTTTTGGCACCATAGATCACATGACCCGTTAACGGTATTGGTTTATTTTATTTTTTTATTTTTTTTATTTCAGCTGGTCGAGAACTGGATGGAGATTCGAGGGGCTATAGAAGTGCAGAGGAGCAGGCCCGCGAATTAACGCGCAGCATTCGCAGAGAAGTGAATAAATTGTCCGAGCAGTGGAACGCATTAATCGAACGTAGCGATGCATGGAAGCGAAAACTCGACGACACCACCAATGTGAGTAAATTTTATATTTTCCTATTGATTTCTTTTTTTTTCATAGGTTTTAATTTAATTCTATACTTTTTTGGAAAGAAAAGAAGAAAATTTTCATGGACAAAAACTCTACGAAGGAAAAATTGTCCAAATCGCTCTAAATTTAGAAACAGATTTTCCATACAGACAATTTTCACGAAAATAAATTTTCCTCCTATATACGAAAAATTTATACTTTATATTTTATTTATTTAAATTGAAAATACACTGAAAAAAAAATTTATTTGTTTTTTTGTCAGTGCATTTTGGAAAAACTCCACAAAATAAATAAATACGTAAATAAATAAATAAATAAATTGCAAATTCCCCCAAAAAAATTCAAATCAGAAAATTTGAATAAAAATAGAATTTTAAAATCACTGATTTCAATCAGAGTAAAGGGTTATTTAAAACAGTAAAAACTTTCCGTTTTATAGACTTCAAAGGAAGTTTTTCAAAAAAAAAAAATGCGAAAAAAACCAACGAATAAAATTGAAGGAAAAATTGAAAAGAAAAAAAAATCCTCAATGGAAAATTGTAATTCCCAGTGAAATATTGTAGAAAGTATCCAGATCGATTTATAGATTTGAAAATCCATTACTAGTTTATGTGAGGCACTAGCCTCCCTAGAGTACCGTTCAGTGGATGAAATCATTCGATTTTTATTCTACATTTAAGAATGAAAATCAAACTCCAAGAAAAATATTACTACAAATAAATTGTCATTTTCAAAAAAAAAAAAAAATTTAATATTTCAAAACAATTAATTTTGTTAAAAAAAGAACACTATCAGAGATTTTTTTCTAAATCAGGAAATATTCAATTGTGAATTTTCTTTTTTTGCTATTATAAAGCAATACTATTTTTGCTAGCACACAAACGTTTCTCCTATTCATTGAAAATGGCTTTGTGCCTCGACAAACCTTTGGTATTATGTAAAAAAAATATATATATGTGTATACAGATTGAGGTGTGCGAGTGAGTACATTTGAAAGATGGAATTGAGAAAAATGGTTTGAAGGAGGGTTGAGCAAGTGCGTCCCTTACCGATAACACTGCACACAACTCACAATACTTCAAATACCCGATCCAATAATCTTCGTTTCCTGCTTGGAGTTCCTTTTTTTCCAAAAATTCGTTCTGAATTGAACATTTAATGGAATGTTGCTTTTTTATTTATTTCTTCTATTTTCCCCAAAAGCTGATTAATTTACTCTAATTTCCTCCAAGCAATTTTTCTTTTATCTAAAAATTATATTTCTTATTGAAAATGATTTACTAAGTAAAAATATTAATTTATAATTTATTAATATATTACAGTATATCAATAATAATTAATTAAGAAATAAATAGCTTCTATCATTAATTAATATAATTAATTGATAAAATAATAAATTGTAATTATTAATAAAAGTAGAAATATTTTCTAATAATTTATCACCCGGAGAGAAATTTTATTTAAACCAAATATAATTTATTTGAGTTAAATTAAAGTATATTTATCTCAGAGCTAAGTAGATTATTTATTTGTTTAAAATAAAAAATTTTATTCGACATAAATAAAACTTTTATTTGAATCAAATAAATTTTTATTAAAACCAAATAAAATTTATTTGAAAAAAATCTTGTTGGCTCTGAGTTAAATATATCGCTTTTTCAGGGTATAGTAAAGTAAGAAAAATAAATAAGTTTCAGGATGGAAAATAATTTTTACATAAAAGAAAAATTAACAAAAAAAAAATGAAATAAAATGTTCTTTTAAAATGTTTTAAATAAAATTAATATACTAAACATCGTTGAATTCTTGCGAAGAATTTTATCAAAAAATTTAATGATAATTGAATTCCTTCGAAGAATTTCATCGAAATTTTTAAAAATATAATTTAATTCTTTCGAGAGATTTCATTAAAATTGTATTGAAAATATTTGAATTCTTGCGAAGAATTTTATTAAAATTTTTGAAAATATTTTCATTATTTTGAAGAATTTCTTTAAATTTTTTAAAAATAATGGAGATTTTTAATAAATTTTAATTGAAAATTTCGAAAGTAATTAAATTTCATGAAGAATTTATTTCAAATTTTTAAATTAATCGTGTTTGTTAATAATTAATTAATGGATTTTATTAAAAAATTTTATAAAGTATAATTAAATTCTTCTCAGAATTTTATAACAATTTAGTAAAATAATTGCGAATTCATTCAAAGAATTTTATTAAAATAATGAAAATAATTGAATTCTTTCGAGAGAATTTCTTTAATTTGTTAAATATAATCGATTTTCTTAAAAATTGTACCTAATTAATAATTTTATTAAAATTATTGATAGAAAATTTTATTTCCATTGAACCATTCTATTAGAATTAAATAATTAAATTCTTTTGAAGGACTTTTTAAATTTTTTTGAAAATTATAATTTTTTTTATAATTTTCATTGAATCTTTTGATAATTTTTTGGAAATATGTACAATTAATTTAATTTTTTACAGAATTTTATTGTACAATTTTTTTAAATAATTTAACTCTTTGAAGAAATTTTAATAAAAATTCTACGGAAAATAATTGAATTCATACGAAGAAATTTATTATATAATTATAATTATTTAGTATTCAATTATTTTTGAAAATAATTAAATTTTTATAAAAAATTCAATTATAATTAATTGGAATAATTATATAATTGAATTCTTTAGAAAAATTGTTGTACCTATTACAATTTTTTAAAATAATTAAAACCTTTCGTGAAATTTTATTAAAATTTTATTGATAATACTTGAATTCATAAGAAGAATTTTGTTATTTATAAAAATAATTTATTTTTTGTAAAAGAATTTGATTAAATGTTTAGCCGATAATTTAATTCTGTCGAAAAATTTTAAACAATTTTTTGGAAATAATTGACTCATTTCGTAAAATTGTATTAAAATTTTGTTAAAAATAATTCAATTCAATAAGTGAATTTTGAAATTTTTGAATCTGAAATCATTCAAAAATTAAATTTGAATTTTTGAAAATTAAGAAATTTTAAATTTTGCATAATAATGATAATAAATAATAAGGGTGATATTCTATAAAATAATTGTAACTAAAAAAACCTAAAAAATTAGCTAAAGAAATTAACTAAAAAATCAAACAACAAAATTAACTAAAAGAACAAAAAAAAACTACAAGAATTTAAAAAAAAAACTAAAAGAATAGAAATAAAACAAAAAAAAATCGATTCAATGGAACTCTCGGTTATGAATCAGTAAAAAAAGAAAAAAAACCCTCAACCAAAGATCAAGATTCGAGAGAATGTTTTCTCATGAATGAAAATGCATGTAAGACTATTATTAAATCTGTCTGTGTGTGTGTGTGCGTTAAAGCTGTACTATCATACCGAAAGGTATATATTCTCTGTTAGAGATTGGTATGCATGGGAGTAATTCGCGTATGCGATCACCCTCGCCCCCCTCCCCTCCTCCTTTTCCTATGGTAGCAGCACCCTACAACCCCCCCACTGGGTTGACCAAGATGCAATCGTAAACTCGCTTATGTTCACGAGCATAATGCACAGAAATACGCGTCGCATTCCATTCACGTAGTTACGTTAACCTCGAGTGGGTGATGCCCCGAAAGTTAAGCTCGCAAAATATTTCACGTGCGACATTTCACTCTCAATTTACTCTCTGTCTTTTCGTCTAGGCGCCACACGCCGGCAAAAAAAAAAATTTCCTGTCTTCTTTTCCTTTCACTAAAAAAAAAAAAAAAAAACAGGAAAGGAAAAGAAAAGAAAAGATTCAAAAATTTGCATTCAGATTTTCTATTTGTCAAATCTTTCATTATTATTTAGGTGTACGATTTTCCTAACAATGATTTTACTATAACAACAGTTTTTTTGTACAGTTTTCCTTAGGATATCAAATTGAGACAATTTGACATCCTTAGAAAAATTGTGTAGCAATGGTTGCTGTCTAAACGATTTTACTAGCAATGGTTACTATGGAAACGATTTTTCTAGCAATGGCTACTGTCTAAACGGTTTTTCTAGCAATGGTTACTATTTAGACGATTTTCCTGGCAACGGTTACTATAAAACGATTTTTCTAGCAATGGCTACTATAAAAACGATTTTTCTAGCAATTATTACTATCGCAACGATTTTATTAGCAAGGGTTACTATCTAAACGATTTTCCAGCAATGGTTACTATCTAAACCATTTTCCCAGCAACGGTTATTAAGGAAACGATTTATCCAATTAGGCTTACAGTAGGAACGATTTTTCCAACCGATTTTCAAGCAATGGTTACTATCTAAATGATGTTACCAGCAACGATTTTTCAAAAAGTTTTTCTAGCAATTGTTACTATCTAAACGATTTTCCTAATAACGTTTTTTCTAACGGTTTTTCTAGTAATTGTTACTATTTAAATGATTTTACTAGTAACGGTTACTATGGAAACGATTTTTCTAGCAATCTTTACTATCTAAAGGATATTTTACTAGCCAGGGTTATTAAGGAATTGATTTTTCCAGCAGTGGCTACGATCTAAATGATCTTTCTATAAATGGTTATTATCTAAACGATTTTAGTAGCAACGGTTACTATAGAAACGATTTTTTTGACGGTTTTTATAGCAATGGTTACTATCTAAAGAATTTTCCCAGCAACTGTTACTATTTAAACGATTTTTCTAGCACTGTTTACTATCTAAAAGATTTTCTTTCAATGGTTACTATCTAAACGATTTTCCTAGTAACGATTGTTCTATCAATGGTTCTATCTAAACGATTTTTCTAGCAATGACTGCTATCTAAACGATTATTCTAGAAACAGTTTTTCCAACAATAGTTACTATCTAAACGATTTTCCTAGCAACGATTTTTTTATCAATGGTTACTATTTAAACGATTTTCACAGCAATAGTTAATATGGAAACGATTTTTCCAGCAATTGCTACTATCTAAACGATTTTTTAAGAAACAGTTTTTCCAGCAATGAT